AGCCAGGCCGGCCCCGGCGAGTGGGGGCCGCGCCCCGCGGGGCACCGGCGCCGCCGCTCCGCCTTGCCGCTCGCACCCCACGCACACAGACCCCGCACGGCAAGGGCGGGCGTGGGGACGACACGCAACACACTCTGACTTTTTTGGAGCGGGGGGGACACACAAGCAAGCGGTCCCTCCTCCTGGCGGCATTTTGGCCCGTCCTCTTCCAGCAAAGCGAGGATGCTCGGGGCCTCGGCATTACCCCACGCGTGACACCGAGCACGGATGGGGACATCCTCCGAGCCAAAGGGGAGCTGAAGTAGATGGGCCTGGCCGGCTGGGAGGTGGCAAGCAGGGGCAGGGTCAAGATTAATCACAGAATCACAGAATCTTCTAGATTGGAAGGGACCTTAAAGATCATCTTGTCCAACCGTCAACCTAACTGACAAAAATAGACACCTGCACAACAAACAAGGAGCATCATCACTAAACCATACCTCCCAGCACTACATCAACCCGTCTTTTGAACACCTCCAGGGATGGTGCCTCAACCATCTCCCTGGGCAGCCCATTCCAATGTCTAATAACCCTTTCAGTGAAAAAATTTTTCCTAATATCCAGCCTGAAAGCAGGTGTCCGTGGGTTCGTGCGGAGGTTAGGGGTGGATGCTGCTTCCCAGGGGGAAACTGAGGTCTGGGGCAAGTGGATTCGCGTTGGCTGAGGGGTCGGGCAGCAAAGCTTGGCTGAAAAGTCTCTTCTGGGGAGGCGAGGCCAAAAGAAAGGCAGAGGAGGCCAAACAGAAATGGTGGCAGGACACGGTCTTGCAGAGCTCCAGGCACGGAGGGGAGGGCTGGCGTGAGTGGGGGCGGTTGCGGTGAGGGACGTGGGGGAGAGGTGGGAACCGATCCCCCGGTTCCCGGGCGGCGGGAAGGGAAGCAGAGATTGTGCCTACGGGGCGGGCAGGGCCTGGCCTGGCCTGTCTGCCAGGAGCAATGCCAGGAGGAGCCGTGAGACGGGCGGCCCCGAAGGGGAGGGCGGCTGGAGAAGGAGCTGAGCCCCCGGTCACCGGGTGTGAAGGTACAGATGGAAACGGGAGGTTCCCGTTAGCAGGAGGTTGAAGGGAAGTCCCCGTTGAGTTTTACCGTGCAGAGCCGTTCTGCTGCTGGAGGAAGCTTTGAGAAAGTGAAGATGAGCAACCCAAAGTTTGGAGACTCCAGGCGCTTGGGGGTGTGTGGGCATGGTAAGGGGTGCTTGAGGGCCACCTCGGCCTTCCTAATCCTCCTGTGTAAAATGGGGACACCTCTGGCGAAGTCAGTAGGAGCTGGCTGAAGCGAGCCACACTGTTGCATGAGATGCCAAAAAGCCTGGAGGTACCCAAGGGCAAGGGCCAGAGAAAAACCCAGCCTTTAAACCGACCAGAGCTGGTGTGGAGCGAGGAGTAGCCGCACAGGGATACTGGGCTTGTTCCTGGCTTTGGGGTGGAAGCCTTGCGACAAAGAACCCCCCAGCGTCCTATTTACAAAGCCTTGGGGTGTCCCTCTGCAGTTTCATGCCTATCTCTCCTGGACGGTGTAATTCCCCGAAGGGAGGAGCCTTCAGAAAGGTCTCGTTTCAAGAAAAAGTCATTCAAGTGCTGTAGCATGGCCTGTCAGGACGAGTTTAGGGGTAATATGCTTCATGGTCGGTAAAATCCCATTGTCCACGCTTTCAGCCCGGGCACCTCTCATTGATTTGGAGAAGACGTGTGCCACAGTTAACTGCGGCTCTCAGACAGAGGGACTATCCTTCAGAAAGCTTCAGAAAAAAAAAAAAAAAAAAGACAATGAAAGCGAGGAGAAGCAGGAGAGCATCTGGCAATGGTCAAACAATTGGGCAAGTGCTAGAGGGCGAGCTCTGAGCTCCGAGGAGTGGGAAAAGGGGGTTTCAGCTCGGGGCAGACCAGCGTGGGCCGAGGAAGTGCAGGCGACACGGGGGGGAAGGACCGGAGTCTGCAAAGTGTGCGTTTAGGAAAAGAATAGCTTTCACCGGGAGGAGGTGAAATATAGTTTACCAAGGCGTAAAACTCTCCATAGCAACTAGGAACTAGCGGTGAACAAAGCCACCATACATTTTGGGGCAGTATAATCTATCCACGGGAGAGATGAGGGTGCGGGAGGGGTGCGAGGGGCATAGGGAGATGTTTATTTCCTACTGAAAAATTGTCTCACGCAAATTTCAGAAGTACTGAATGCAGCTCTCTCTTTTTTATTTTTTTAATTTTTTTCCCCCCTGCTCCAATGCAGAAAAAGTGTATTGGAAGATTGTCTTCCTCGAGCTGTTGGACAGTGGATAGTTCAATCCCAATCAGATTAGCAGAATGAAGTAACAGGCTCTGCAGGTTTGGAGCTGCAAATGCAAGATGTGCTTGAGGAGAGAACTAAAACTCCAGACACGGGAGTTCACAAGGGAGTACCAACACAAAACCACCATTCCCACTCAGTGTGCGGAGCTGGGGGCTCGGAAACTGGCTACAGTGCCTTAGAGCTACACATACCCCAACCATGGTCTTCCTCCTCCTGCCTTACGCACAGGTTAATATCTCTATCTTTCGGAAAAATCTTGAATAATCACCTGGATTAGCTTTTGTTTTACCTGTATGTAGCAGAAGATAGCAAGGGCTTTGCTTTGGTTTAGGATTTGTTTGGGGTTTTTCCCTTATCTATGCCTTTCTGCGTTATCAGCCCTGCCCTCCTCCAAATTGCTTTTCAGCCACAGGACAGGTGAGGGCTGCGTGTTTCTCCCCTGGATGTTAGAATGTAGAAAATAACGCGAAAAGCAAGACGCTTGTACAATCGAGACCCTGGGAACAAGTGTTATTTCCTACCTGGAAGGACGGTAAAAAAAGAAAACTCGATGGGAAAGGCCCTTTAAAATCCGCAGCTGTAGGGGAGGTGAAGCCTGCGTGTTTCAGGGCGGAGGGATCTGGAGAACTGTGAATGCCAGATTCCAGAAATATAGCTCAGGAAGATTAAAATTTGGGGAAATAATAATAAAAAACCAATGAAGAGCAGAAAGAGGGAAGCGTGGAGTTTAGCCTAACAGACTTCTCAGCGGCGTGTCTTGAACTGCCGTCAGAGTGCAGAGGAAGGAGTACAGGCACGCAGTGCATTTTCCATTTCCATGTTCTGGTATGGCATCATTACTCACGTGTCTTGCACAACAGACGAAAGAACTAAGAAATGAAAGCAGGACATGCATTTCTTCCCCCCAAAGCACTTTGTCTGTTAATGTTCCTCTCGGTTTCTAACTTTCTAGCAAGGCCGATGAAGTTTCTGCTAGCTCTCCATCCAAAAGGTCCATTTAGCAAACCAGCCTTTGGGTCATTACATGGGGACAAATAGTCTCCTCATCGTTTTTCTTTAAGCAGACGGCTGAAGAGAAACGCCCTGCATGATTTTCCAGAATATAGCAACACCTTCTCAGTTTTAGGAGTGGCAGAGCAAAGCTCACTAGATAACTGGGACAATCTCATCATGATAAACGTGCCACAGATCCAGATATTTAAGATAAGGAAAGCAATGAAATTACGTTATTGCAAAGGACATCCTTGGGCGACCAAATGAGGCATTCGGAGCAATTTGGTAGGATCCTGCTATTTAGTTGTATTATTTACTGCGTAGTTACAGGTAGATAAACTAGATGTGTTTATGTGTCTCAGACATGTGTTAAATGTTTTGTAATGCCTAAATCACATGTCCGTGTATTCACAGTTACGTTTGGTTCCTATTTAGGCGGCTGTATTTATCATCCATCTTAGAGTAGCCTTAGATGCTGAATAAGAGAAGAGGATGCTACAATGGGAAGGTAATCTATTTTCACGGGGAGGGCCAAACTCGGAGTCCCTTGTTCAAAACACGCTCTCTGCTCCTCGGGATATTCAACTTTAATAAAAATATGTCAGCGCGCGGAGAGCAAGTGCTTCATAACTAGATGTCATGGCGCCATTCACTTGGGGACATCCCATCAAATCGACGTTTGCTGAAGAATGCCACCCTCTCTCCGTACCACACGGGTGGGCACCAGCGCCAGGTGTCACACCTTTTAGTTGTAATATCACTTGCCCATTGCCTAACAGGCAGAAGACTCCCTTCAGAGGTGAAAACCGAATGATGAATGGACGAAAGGAGGTGGAAAGTCAGAGCTAAAATTCACACAAAATAATAAAAATGTGAAGAAAGGACAGAAAACGTGTTGCAGAAGCTCCGTTCCCGTTCTGTGAAGCAGCTGAGCAACATCTGGAATGGGGTCCTTTCCCTCCTGGGACATCATACACTAAGCACTGCCGCAAAACTCCGACGGTGCGCACGCCTCGGTTAGCAACCCCACCCGGATTAGGGGCATTTCGAGTGTCCCTCTGGGGATGACAAACGGAACGGTGAAATGCAATTTAAAAAAAAAAAAAAAAAAACAAGAACAAAAAACCAAAACCAAAACACAAACCAACTCATCGAGTTTCACTGCCTTTTCCCTACCGACAGGGAGAAAAAGGCTTTGGCTTGGAAAGAAGGGGAGAAGGCAGCTCCGGGGGGTAGTGGGGGGGATCAGCCCTGCCTCCCGCGAAAGGGGCTGCTCACTAAAAGTGGGTCAGACTTCAGGGTCCGTTACTTACTCTGAAAATCAACCCCATTAGTCTAACTAATTGCTATTAATAAAGTCCGGGACCCTACCGTCCTAAACCCACCCCCTTCGCCTTCCCCGACGGAGCCAAATAGTTTCTTACAGAAACCGGTGTGAGTGCGTGTCCCTCCTCCCCCCCGCCCCGTGACAGTGTCACCCGGGGGACAGCCGCCCCACGGCCGTGGTTCTTTCGCAGAGGAGGTTCGGGTCTCCCTCTCCGCCCACCCCCACGGCGTCGGGGGTGGAGATAACCCGCCTCTCGCCCCCCGGAGAGGGGACAGGGGACAAAGTGATGCAGAGGAACCAGGCTGCGAGGGCCTCCACGCCGCGCTTTCCCGAGTGGGACAGGCGGGACTGGCCCCCGGCTGATTTTAGAGAGGGCTGGATGAAGCCCCCGGGGTTCCCTGGACGGGGGACCCGCAGGTGGCTCCAGCGCAGCCCGACATCCCTCCAGCTGTGCCCCAGATGTTGCCGTGCGCCAGAGGCTTTCTCCCCGTTCCCTTCATTCTTGTCCACCAGGGACCAAATGGCAACTTCCATGATCTTAAGTTGCAGCCGGTCTGCTCGCCCGCCCTCTCCTACGACCTGTTTTGTTGGGTCATTTTGGGTGAAGCCAGCCGGTTACCCCGAATTTGAAAAAGCCCCACTCCTTTTAGAAACCTTTTCAGGAGACCTGTGAAAACGTGAAGCTTGGGACTGAAGTATTTTTGCCCAAGACACGAAATATGAACCGATTTAAAGGAATACGTCAGAGGGGAAGAAAAATAAACCCAGAGTTATTCGGCGGTAAAACAAAAAGGCAGAATATTTTCTCGTCTTAAACGACTAGTCACTAAAGAAATATATTCCCTTAGATCAAATGAGAGGTATTTTGAAGAGTTTTCCGAAATGAAGATCTTCTGAGAGGCGAATTTTTTGCTTCAGCAGGAGTCTGTGTTTTGCTGAGCATCGTTGTGCCACCAGCACAGGGACTACACAGCTGGAGAAGCAGAGTGGTGACATACAGTTTAATAGTTAGTAACTTTCTCAAAGAACAGGTTATCTCCACCTGACAGGGAGTTGTTAATAGAAAATAATAGTAGGATTTTTGCCGCTGTGCAAAATACTTCCTGAACACGTAAATAAACATAAACTCACCAAATATTATTCTCATTTTGGAAACTTTACAGTACAATTACTTGCAGACTACTAGGATCACTCCGCTGACCCTCAACCGTACTACACAGATATTGCCAAACTGAATTCCCTTATTATTTCTCAGAGCCAACGCTTGCTAAAAGGAGAATGCAGCATCCCTAATTTAAATGTTAGTTTTCCGGGAAAAATAAAAAAAAAAAAATAAAAAATAAAAAAAAAAGAAAGGAAAAAAGAAAGCAAGAAGAAAAAAAAAAAAGAGAAAGCTGTAGTTTAAAATGAAAGCAATTTGAGAAGTCTGTAGGAAAATGGTCTAAAACTGACTAGACTGGTGTTGTCTCTTGTTCAACCTCCAAGCCTTCTGCAGGCTATTTTTCTCTAGTACAAATGTAATTTAATAGCCGAGATGGATATTGTTTCACTTTCAGCTATCTGCTCTATACTCCGGTCTCATTCTACACTAGATGATTACCTTACTGTCCTATATGCACAATTTAAAGGGAATTACCTATTACTTCAATTATTTGTTTCTTATCAACTGATGTTACACTACAAGGATTTGCATTGAAAGGACACAAAGAAAGAGCAAGTCATGGCACATTGCCAAATAAAAGAGTAATGTTCTGGTGAATTTAGCCTAAATAATTTACTGCTATATAAAAGTGGAAAAGTGGAAGGTGAACCCTTTGACCAATAAATCTCTTCTGCATGTGAAACCCTTATCTTGTCCCCTCCAATATATTCCACACTAGGAAGCCATCATCATTGGCTCTGGTTTGTTATTTGTAAACCTTGATCTTCTGCACTCGGTGTCCTAAATATGGATAATTAGCATCAGTTTATCACGCCTCTGCATATTTTCTCTTCTCTCCAAACATGCATGCTTCTATTGGCTGCCATTCTGTCACAGAAGATTATGGAGACAGATTGCAGAGAATGAATGTGCTAAACGAGATTAGGAAGGAATAGAAATAGCAACTTGGCCAATAAATTCCTCGTGAGAGCCTTATCATACAATTACACGTTGACTTGTTTCACACTCTCCCAGCCTCTTAATCCAACGCCCCCACCAAGAATAAAATTTCACTAATTTCTGAATTACTGCATATCCTCATGACTTGTCACTGAGAATGGTTGGAAGGAGCAACACGGTCGAAAACAGCACATCGAACTTCCAAAAAGAAAACAAACTTTAAAGACAAAAAAGAGATGGGGCTTTAAACCATTTGTGGTCACACGGAGAAGTTTTTGTGCCGCCGCGGTTTCGAGGGTCAAGACTTCAACATCAGCCGTTTTGCTCTACGATTTTACCCCCGAATTCTTTACAGTAGGTACTACGTTATCCTTTAGAGAGACCTGGGGAGCAGAATATGATGCACTGATGCTGCTAAACTATTTTGGTGGTCTGCTGTGCAGTCAGCTCTCCCAGCTGAGCCCTTACAAACTCCTCGGACAGCAATGGCGAAAACACCTACTGCTGTCATCGATTCCTTGGACTTTCCTGAAGGTGCGGTAATAGAGAAGACGCCAAAAGCATGACAGCAGGGTGAGATAAAATCCCGCTGAACTTACAAGAAACATCTACCAGCTCTGTGAAATTAATTTTGTCCGTTTTGCCGAGCTTATTTTCAGTGTGGACGTCAAGAAAACATGATTTCCATGACGTAGTTAAGAGGCATGGCAAAACCCTTCAGGAGACATCACCTCTGGAAATGCTAGAAGTCTCAATTTCCCCCCTTGTACTAGCCCAGGAGGAGGACTTGCAAAAATGTTAGTGTTGTTTTCGTTGGTTTAGATAGGTGTAGAAAAATCAGAAGAGTAAAAAGCCCCAAGATCCGATGATAAAGCCTTGCTCAGTGGATCTATACTCTTAACATAGACTGGATGCCACGATGCATTTGTCTTACAATTTTAGCAGATTGTAGGATATTTTATAGCGTTTATTGCTATGAAAGGGCTGGTTTAGAAAGCAAGGCGTTTGTGTAACTCGAGTAACTGTATCGTCGAGTAAATGTGAATGTTCAACCACATACAGACGCTCAGTGGATCTATACTCTTAACATAGACTGGATGCCACGATGCATTTGTCTTACAATTTTAGCAGATTGTAGGATATTTTATAGCGTTTATTGCTATGAAAGGGCTGGTTTAGAAAGCAAGGCGTTTGTGTAACTCGAGTAACTGTATCGTCGAGTAAATGTGAATGTTCAACCACACTTCGAAGTCCGGATGAACAGCATGACGAAGTCTTGCTGCGTATTTGGAGATGCTTGGCGTCACACCTCTCCCTGCAACGAGATGCCGGGGAAGTTTTAACGGAGCGGTGAAGCGGTCCATGTCGCAAATGTTTAAGGATGCTCAAAATAAGGCGATTGCCTCCGGTGGGACCTTCCCTGCGCACTTTCCTCTGGGGTGGAAGAGATGCAGGCGGCAACAGAGCATCCCCACTCCCCCTCGAGTATGGCAAACCCATCCTGGGAGTACCGTAGAGCACGGAGTGCCCTGTGAAAATTTCAAGCCTGGGCCCTCTGTTATCTTACCATAAAGTGGGTTTATTGGTTGTGGTGATGTTGTTGATTTTTTTTTTAACCTGACCATTACTTTTCTCTTACTCTCCCATGGAGTTTTGCTTGGTGCTCAGTCACCTCCAGATGGAAAAAAACAGACTGCAGTTGAGGGTCACCTTCACCCAGAGCCTTAAAACCCCACCGTTGCAGAAAATACTGAGATGATATAAGCGTGACTTTGGGGGACAGCAAGAAAGCCCACTACCTGTTTGCTGCCACGAGAGTCTTTGAACGCTTGTAGTCCCGTACACTTAATTACTAATAACGGTCCCTTATTTCCTTCTTCCTTTTCTTGTTATCCACACAGGCAGGGATACATATTCGTATGCACGTATATCTATACGTGCAAACACACATACCAATATATCTATATGTGTATATATATGTGCACACACATCTCCCGAGTGAACCGGGTAGCTGCAAGCAGGGAGAGAGGCGTTTGCCATTAATCTGGGAACAAACCGCTAACCTCGGTGACTGGTATTTTAGCTTTTCTTTTCTCGCCTCTCTCAGTGCGGGGAGAGCAGTAAAGCTTGTGTGGACCGATTGTGAGGGGCTCTGCTGGAATTTGGCAGGCCAGGGGCTTGGAGAGAAGCCCCATGCTGACTCCTATTCAGCGGGCCAGTTTTCTGCGAGCTTTGGAAGTTTCACTCAGCCGTGCACTCAATGGCTTCACAAAGCTGATTACAAGCTTCAGCGCATTCCTGAAGGAGCCAAAAGCGACGCAGGTGCAAACGAGCCGAGGGAGCCCCTTATCCCGGTGACAGAATGGGACAAGCTGGGAAAGGCTTGGACCACACAAATCCAGGGCTCACCAGGCAGCAGCA